TGAGTATTTTTTTATACTTTTGCGTTTTACAATTTTTAAAAAGCTTGAAATTTGTCGAGTTTAGAAATTTAACTTTTACATCAAATTTCTCAAAATTGGTCTACTCGATTTTTATGCTTTTTTTTTGCTATAGATAGCTTGATTAATTCTCCATTAGATGTATTTACGTGCAATATTGTACTTTTTCTGGATTTTTCTAAAAATAAATTTTTTCAAAACAAATCGATTTTGGTCAATTTTTATTTTACATAGTAAATGCCAATCGAAAGATCTTTCAAAACTCAATAAGAATAATGCCTTTTGTTTTAGTTTAATTCCTTGTATTAACGAAAATATCATTTTTTAAAAATTTTTTGAAAATACAGCCTTGCATTTTCCAGCAACATTGCTAATTTGGCACTGATTTTGTTCCCGTCCGAGACTTCAGTTTTATGTCAACAGTTTAACCAATAATAGTGCCTGACTGTTGTTGTAGCTGCATATCATCAAATTAGTTTTCTATTTTATACAGCTGCATGATCACTTCTTCTTGATAAGCTCTCCTCAACTTTTTGTACTTTTTGCAAGTCCATTTTTACTTCATTACCATTTTACTTCAAACTTTATGAATCAGTTTTGACTTGTGTGTTCACGAATGCCATCAATTTATTTATCCTAACAACGTTCTCAAAAGACCTGTTAAAATAAATGTGTCGTTTGTCATTAATATCAAACAACGCAATTTCCTTTAGATAATTGTGCCATTGTTTAGCACCTTATTTATAAAAGGCAGCCATTTTTATTAAATGAATTGAATATACAAGACTGACATGTCTCCTTGACCAAAAGCGAAATGACGTTATTCGCTAATAACCAAAACACCGCTTGACAGATATTTTTTAATTATCATTTTTGGACTTAGCGTACATAATTCTCAAACTATTACTTGATTTTGCTTCTCCAAATACTTGTTCGTTAGTGCCATCAGGGCAGATCTTCGACTTTGGTTGATTATACCTAGTAATAATTTTGGTGGTATTCAGTGGTAGTGCACTATTAAACGGATGGTTGCATATAATCCGGAAGCCTAGTCGGTACTAAACAAAATCCGGTAAACAATGAACCACCGTTATGACTGTGTTAGCTAGTATAGTTGTATTTAATACATAAGATATATATATATGTAAACATAAAAGTACTATATAAAATTTTGATTTCAGTCTTCGTTTCGCGAAAAAACTAATGTTAGCACGTTTATAGTTTTTATCAGTTTTTTTTAGTAAGCTAAGCAAATCATATTGAAATGAATTACAAAAACAATTACAAATTAAAAAAATTAAATCAAACAATTTATAATTTAATAGGAAAAACAAAACCATGTTTACAGAATAATAAATAATTTGCACACGTACTATAAATTGCAATAATAATAAATTTTTACAGAGCAAATAAATAAACAAATTGTTTCATGATTTTTAATTATTTTGCTGTCTAATACTGAATTATACTTCTGTGTATACATATGTATACTGTATATTAAAATTATAAACAACTAAAACTTAAATATAGTGCAGATAACGAATTGACTAATTCGATTAAGCGGAAGCAGCGGACGATTTAGTTTAGAATATTTATCGACAATGATTTTAATAACTTTATAACTTATCACAATCAAATTCCAAAATGGAAGTATTTTACAGAAATTATCAGTTCGAATTTCATTGTTTGGCATCACTAATCGTACTGTATCAAATAGCTTAAAGAGGCAATACTGGAAGTCAGTATTATGTTCGTGAGCTTATTCAAGCATTACTATTCAATTCTGTAATAAGTGATTTTCTTTTTTTAGCAAGTATTTATTTCTTTTCTTTCGTCTGCGTAGACTTCGGATCCTTATTGTCTTAGCCCAAGATTATCCTAGTCGCCATACGCGGCTATAGTTATCTTTATGTGGATATGTGAGTTAAAGTACCTTTTATGTATCACTTATGTATACAAAAATTCCGTTACAATCGATACATAGCTGACACAGCATTACAGCATATTCTCAAAAGAGTCTTAATAATAATAATTTGTGCTCTTTGAAATGCTCGAGTATTAACATTTTTATTCCCAATTGAGGACTTCTTGACCAGGTTCACCTCTTTAAAAAAAAATTAAAAATATAACTTATTTGTTAAATTTCCTTCATATTTATTCATTCAACACGTTCAACAAAATAAAATGTAAACACATGTTTATGGTTGTAATAACTGCAAGTGAAGGTTATCTAATCTTTTGGAAGGACTAGTTCGCTTATTTTTCAACTTAAATGAAGATTTAAAATGTTACCCTATTATATATAAATAGGCTAAGGAAAACCTCTATTGTGGTTAGTTCTATATTGTATTGTTCGTATAATACATAGTACACATCAATTGAGGAATAATTGTTGAAGGCAGTTTCACTTCATATTTATTTAAATAATTTTAGTAATTCATAAATTATATATATAATTCGAATTGTATTTCGGTATAATGAGATAATCTCATTTCAACATACATATATGCATATATAAAAAATTAAGTTATAGTTTAATAAGAAATTGTTTTAACTTGACATTGAGCTGTAAGATATATTTTTTTTATTTAGGTGTAGATGATGGCTTAATTTATAACATATTAAAATAAAAGGAGTAAATTAATAACTAAATAAATTAGGATAAATAAAAACTGTCAATTTAACCAACCATAAATTAGTTAAATTTTATTATTCAATTTTAAATTTTTGATGTACTTATTCCATATTTCTCTCATATTTATTATGAAAAGGGGTTGATAGACTGCGACGGCGTAGTAAATCCAAACAGAGAGGGACATATGTAAGGTACTAAGCATCGTTTCTTACTACAACCGGGGTTGAAAACAATAAAAACTATTTGAGGTTGGGATTGGTTTAATTGAAGAGTGCTGTTTTAAATATAGAATACAATATAGCGTTGTCATTCTTTCCCCTGGTGTTTGTTTTTGTTATTTGTTTATATTATACATCATAATAGACATATTGCTTTTGTATGTTCGCAAATCGTTTGCCTGACAATGTAAATGGAAACACCTGAATTTGCTAACAGTTCTGAAACAGAAAAAAGACAAAAACTCCAGAAATCAAGTTTGAAGAAGTGGGATAAATAGTATATTTGTATTGTCGTGTAATTTCTTGTAAAAGTTGCATTTATTTGTAGAACTTGAAGTCGTTTGCGTTACTCTAAAATGTTAAAACGGTGTTTTACTATATTCTTTTCAATTATATGTGCTATCTAAATTTTTATTGTTCATGGGGAAATGTTTTTCTTATTACTAGATTTAAACACAAAAAAATATAACGTAATTATGCTGAAGAAAAAGCTAATGAAGCCTTATTTGGGAAATTAAAAAAAATATTATTCAACAACATCTAAAAAGTATTGCAAAAATGCTATATATGAAAGCTATCGCATTTAAAATGATATTTCAATAGTTTCTCATGACATGATTAATGACATCATTAATTTTATTTACAAAATGATCAAATTATTATTTCAGAAGCATTTTCAATACTAAAAGACTTGTTGAAATCATACAAAACTAGAAAGATATGCAACAAGTGATAAGGAATAAAATATTGCGACATATCATTGATGCTCTGGAGATAATTTCACAAACGTGGGAGGATGAAATAACATTACCGCACGTTTTAAATTTCTAGAAACAATTAAAAAATAGTACAATTTGGTTTTTTTTTCATTTTATTTATTTTCTAATTTCATTATGATTACAGAATTAGGACTTAACTGAGAACACTGAGAACACATTTAATGGCAATCTGAACCAATTTGCCTGGATTATTATAAGTTCTAATTTTATAAAAGAAGAACAAACAAAACTCCATCATAAGTTTTAACAAAATGTTGTAATAGGTGGAAAATATTTATAAAAATCGTCTGCGTCATAAACATACATATGTATATGTTTCTGGTCGTCCTGCCATATACAATGCTGAAATATAGTGCATGGTACTAAAAAATATTGCCGCAAAATTCGTACATATTTGTATATTACATACATATATTCCAATTAATTTATATAGTTCATATCATTAAAAACGCTATTCAACAACACCAAATTATATGTGAACAAAATATATGTGAATATAACAAAATTATATGTGAAACCTGTTTTATAT